CCAGCCCAGCCCGGCCCAGCCCAGCCCAGCCCGTCCCCCGGGACACGGCTCTAGAACCTCCCCTCTCTCCCAGCTCCTCTGCAGGGCTGTGCCCGTGTCCCGGACAACGAGGGGACAGGCTGGGTGGGCGAGGCCGTGGAGGGAAGATGCAGCCATGGGGAGCGTGCTGGGGACAAGGGAACTGTCACCATCTTCTTGACTCATGTGCAGTGAATGTTAATTGTTGCTCTGACTCCTCCAAGCGCAATGAACCCAGAGAAGACCCTCTGAGGGCAGCTGACCTCTGCAGCCCAGAAGAGCTTTCAAACGTGGTATTTAGACTCCTGCATCCTCCCTGTTGGCTTTCCAAGGGCTTGCGTGCTGAAGCCCCTCTGTATTTGAGACTCCCCTTCTCTGAGTGATCGAGCAAGGCTTTTTACTCACACCACCCTCACCTGGGCTGCTGCTGGAACCAGCCCTGGAGGCCTCAAACACCTCTCTCTTAGGGGGAAGGTGAGCTATTTGCACCCCACTGACTCTGGCTGGACCTCCAGCTCAGCTGTTGGCACTTCTTGAGCAGACACTCGGGTCAGACCATGAACTGACTGACTGGGAATGATGGATGAAACCACAGGGAAACTGATCCCAGCTGCTCCACCAGCCTGTCCCCCATAAACATTCACACAGCCTCTCCTGTATTTCCTTTCTCCCGAGTCCTCCCACCAAACCATGGGGATTTTGCCTTTCCCCAGGTTGTGGGGATGCAGCAGCGTAAGCCCTGAGCCTCAGGACTGCTGAAAGCACCGTGCCTGTTCCCACCAGAGCTGTAACTGTCATGCCAGGGCTGTTCCTGCATCAATATCCTCCAGCCTGACCTTGGGTAACTCAGGGTCTTCTTGTTTTGTTTAAGACTTCAGCTCTCTGCCAGGTCTCAGGTTTGAGAGTGTTCTGCAAAGGCAGGAGGAACAGCCCCCCCAGCAGAGTGCAGGGACACAGATGTCCCCATGAGAGATGCCACAAAGCCCAACATTCAAGTGCCAGGCCTCAGAGGTGGATCTGAAGCCTGCAATCAGGTGCCTTGTGGCTTCTACAGAGAAGGTGGGAGAGGGACGGTTATAATCTGCCAGGGTGACTCTACCTTTTGCTTCACTAGGTGGATTTTGGAACAAAACGGACCTGGCAGTTATTTCTGAGCTGATTTTAAGGCAGTCTGAGCAACGTGACATACATAGGGCTGCTCAGCACACTTGGGAGAAGCTTGAGGATCCTCCCAGACCAGAACTGCAGGAGAACTTGGTGGGTAGGTGCTGAGCTGTGCCATATGAGGGCCTCTCTGGCCTGCAGCCAAAACAGAAGTGCAACTCAATTTAGACACAGTATTATCAGCTCTGGGGAGTCTCTCTGTTGGACTGACGCACCAGTTCTTCCTAAATTTCAGTGTATGTGGAGTTTCAGCAAACCAGATAGTGTCTGGGACCACAGGACCATGAGGTGACAGGGTCTCTGAGGTTTACCCCATGCCCTGGATCAGCCCCAGGTACACCACCTTGCCCAGCATTTCCACCTCCACCAGCCCGTTCCACCTGGAGGGTTAAACACAAAGTGCCATTGACAACATTTCTTAACTCCCCTGAGTGACAACAGACAAGAAAAAGGGAAGGACTATTTGGGTTTTGGTTTCTCCTTCAAAAATCCCAGCCAATTTTGCGTTTCCCTCAGTTGTTCTCCTCCCCTGCAGGATCCTCAGGGGTTCTGTGCAGACGCCCTGCCCCAGAGATCACAGCACAGTCTCAGCAGTCAGCCTTTATTTGTTGCTCTGGGTGGCCCCAGCTGCAGAGACACCAGAGCAGCCTCCACAAGTGCCCCAGTCACCATCTCACACCTCAAACCTCCAGCCTGCCGCCGCCGCTCCTTCAATCAGCCTGGTAACACCTCATCAGCTCCACCACCAGCCTCCCCTCCGCCGTCTCCTCTTGCAAGGGGGTGTCCCCGAGGCGGGCTCCCCGCTCTGCCCCACAGCCCGTGGCCCCACAGCCCCCGCTCAGGCTGTGCAGCTTCCCCAGCAAGGCCCTGCTGCTCTCCCGCTCCGGCCCGCTCAGCAGAGCCACGTTCAGCCCGAAGCGCTCGGTGCCCGCCACGCTCCCCAGGATCTGCAGGACAGCATCTCTGTCCTCACGGCGGATGTTCTCCGCCAGCACCGTCAGGAATTCGCCCAGGAGGCCAAAGCCCACGTCAGCCTGGAAGATCCTGCCCAAGGCCTCCCCTCCGAGATCCAGCAAAAACTGGTATTTTTCCTTTCCGCTTTTTAGGCACCTGCGCCAAGCTCTGTAAAACTCAGCAGAGGTTCTGGGCAGTTGATCCAGCTCCTGAAAGGAAAAACAGTCACCCAGTTCCTTTTGTTATGTTCCAACGTGAAGATTCCCACCCCCACCCGCCCCGAACAAGCTGTGGATGGATGAGATGCTTTTAGTCCATGCTTGGACAGCACAAAGGGCTGCACAGAGCTTGTGAGGGGGCAACATGTACAGACAAAGAAATACCCAGTTCCTCAAGCCCCATAGAACCAGAGACCTCCAGGGGAGAACAGTGGCAGAACGGGGATGAAACCCAGCGTGGATGGACACAGAGTGGAGTAACTCCAGCCCTGACCAGAACCAGACACGCTGCCCAGTCTGGACCCACCAGGAAGGGATCTCCTGGAGATGGTGGGAGTTCAGTGGAAGCCTCTGCTCCATCTTGAGCACCTGAGGGAAATCATGGCCTGTCAGAAAGCTGGGGACAGGCTTCTGAGCAGGGCCTGTTGGGACAGGACAAGGGGGGATGGGTTCAAACTCCAAGAGGGATATTCAGACTGGAGAGAAGAGATGTTTGACACTGAGGGTGCTGAGCCCCTGGCCCAGGCTGCCCAGAGAGGTGGTCGCTGCCCCATCCCTGGAACCATCCCAGGGGAGGTTGGCCGGGGCTCTGAGCACCCTGCTCTAGCTGGGGGTGTCCCTGTCCCTGCAGGGGGGTTGGGCTAGGTTACCTGGAGAGGTCCCTCCCCACCCAAACCAGTCTGTGATTCTACAATAAATTAAAGGAGTGAGGAGTTGAAAGCTATGGGACATAAACCCCAGAAAATGAGGAGGTGGCCCAGACACAGCATCCTGTGACGTGCTGCACTCGCAGGGGTCCGTGGCAGAGCTCGTGCTGAGGGAGCCCAGCCCAACGTGGCATCTCCAGAGAAAAGGAAATCCTGTTTCCTACTCAGTGTAATTGAACTGCTGAACTCATCGCCGCTGACTCAACTGACGCAGGGGCTGAAGGGGGATTAAGATGTTGAGGCTCTTACACAGCCAGTGAGAGCAGCACTGGGCTGGAGAGGCCCCTGGGGAGCAGAGCCCTGGCGCTAACGGGATTAGGAGCAGAGTTTGCTCTCGGGAGAGCATCGCTCAGGCCAAGAAAACACAAAGCTGCCTACAAGAGTTGCAAAAAGATCTCACAATAAACAGGCAAATTAAATTCCGTGTCAAAAAAAAATCCATGAGAAACATCCATGGGAAAAATCACCAGCTGCAGGTCCAGTGCCCAGGAGTGTCCAGGCGTGGGCAGAGTCCACTGGAAGGGGCAGGACAAATGTCCTGCAAATCACAAATGACCTGGCTAGAAAATGTTTAGTCACCGTTTCCCACAGCTGAGGAGCTGAGGAGCATCCAGTGAACTCAGCAGGCGGCAGGTTTAGAACAAAAGTGCACTTTTGCATATCATGCATAATTAAACCGCGGGGTGGAAGGGAACTGGCTGTTCACCGAGGATCCGCGGGCTCTGCTCCTTCAACGGGACCATCCAGAGGCACAGCCCTGGCTCCCGGGCCCTGAACTGCAGCCAGCTGGAAGAGTGGTCAAGGGAGGGCACTCTTCCCCAAGAATCTGCTGCCGGCCACCGGCAGGGGCCGGGTGTGGGGGCTCTGCTCCGAGCCGTGCAGCTGGTGCCTGCTCCCCGCGGGGCTGCCGCAGACTCTTCTCCAAGCAGATGGTGCAGGCTCCCCCCAGATGCAAACGGGGGCCAAGGCTGAGCCCGGCGGTGAGCTGAACACCAGTGCTCCTGGGGGCCCGGAGGGCTTGCTCGCATGGAGAGACTGAATAACTCTTGTGTTTTAAGATAATACCTAAAGTATTTTAGGTGATTTGGCCCCTCAGTTCAGGAAGGACAGGGAGCTGCTGGAGAGAGTCCAGCGTAGGGCTACAAAGATGATTAGGGGAGTGGAGCCTCTACCTTATGAGGAAAGGCTGAGGGAGCTGGGTCTCTTTAGCCTGGAGAAAAGGAGACTGAGGGGGGACCTCATCAATGTTTACAAATATGTAAAGGGTGAGTGTCAGGAAGATGGAATTAAGCTTTTTTCAGTGATGACCTGTGATAGGACAAGGGGTAATGGGTGCAAATTGGAGCATAGGAGGTTCAAGGTGAATATCAGGAAAAATTTTTTTCCTGTGAGGGCGACAGCACTGGAACAGGCTGCCCAGAGAGGTTGTGGAGTCTCCTGCACTGGAGACATTCAAAACCCGCCTGGACGCCTTCCTGTGTGATGTACTCTGGGTGACCCTGCTCTGGCAGGGGGGTTGGACTGGATGATCTTCCGAGGTCCCTTCCAACCCCTATGATTCTATGATTCTATGATTTTTAGATGTGGACAGAGTCCTGGCGAGCGTCTCTCTCACCTGGGGTATCTCCACGTCACCGGCTGGCAGGGCCCTGGCAGGGACTGCACAGGGGTTCCACAGCACGCTCCTCCTCTCACCCAGCTTGTCCTTTTTCTCCAGGGGCTTCAGGTGTGATGCCAGCACGATGTCCCTGCAGGCAAGGAAGAAGAGGATGGGACACTTAGCAAGATAAATACCTCAAGGCTTTCAGCTTCTTCTCCAAGGCAGTTTCTGAGTTTGGGCCATATGTGAAATCCAGAGGGACCTGGACAGGCTGGAGAAGTGAGCCCATGGGAGCCTCATGGGGGTCAGCAAGGGCAAGTGTGAGGTCCTGCCCCTGGGTCA